GTCCCGTCTGCTGTTCACCGCACAAATGTGTGTAATAAAAAACCCCATTCTGTCCAGCTCACTTCTAGGCACTTAACCCGACGAGTCGAGTTGCTCGGTAAATCGTCTAAAGCACATGTGAGATATGTTCACGGTATATCTCAGACAGTAGGCCACTTAACTGCCTTGACCAGAAGTGTCATATGCTTTGGAGAACTTCTGCAAGTTGTGAGTACAACCACTTCGGTGAAATAAATATATGGGCATCGTTTCACTGAATAAGGGGTGATAGATAATCAACAAAAATGCCCGAGAATGTGTAGAGTTTTCACTTGGCAAGTATTCTGTTTACAACAGAATTTCACAGTGGTCTGTTACGTCAGTTTGAATTCCTATGATTTTATACAACCCAGTTTGGGAGGTCTCATTGGGATGCTGCGTATAAAAATTCGGTTGCTGACACTTTCCGTATCTGTCTGTTGCGACATTGTCAGTCGAAGCCACTCTTCGGAAATCAAAGTGAAGTAATTCGTTCGTGGGTCCTCGAATCTTGTAAATGCTTTACATCGTTCTCTTTAATCCTCAGTCAAGTTTCACGTGATATAAGGCGGTGCGTCAAAGCGAGTAGGTTTGTTTCATTTTTCGTGCCCTCAATTGATGTCCATTGCACGCAACTACACTCCTACCCACACGCCCCTTTTCCTGGTCATATGAGGCGATTTACATCTGTGTTGCCTCGCCCAAACTTCATCACTGGACCTCGTATTCCTATCACTCGATAGTTGAACTTTTTCTGTGTGAACACATCGCCATGGCGACGAATGGTTGCACTTTTGTTCCCCTCTTTCTATGCCACTTGCTGAATCTCAACAGAGCTGATTTTTTCGCCTCCAAACTGGTCTAACCAGTTTCACTGTATCACATTGTCACGGTTTCTTGATCAACTGTCACAGATCGTACATATACTGCTGTAAACCACATTGATTCAGTATACATTTTTCACCCTTGANCCCTTGATAAGTGTTACAAATCGAGTCGTGACCCTGGAGGCCATTTACGAGATGAGTGAGTTGTTATACTTGCCACCAAGTTGTGTTGTATCGTTTGTCGAAAAAAGAAGAACGGTTTGATCAGCTGCCCGGTGGTCAAGTACGTAACATTCCTGCGTTCCACCCGTTCATTCTCGAGTTCGATCCTCAGTTAGGTCGATGGAATCGCACTATCAATGAGATTCATCTAGGTCGAAACAGTTGTCTAGCGCTTCTTGGCTTTTCAGCTCATGCCTCGTTTGGTCTGCACACGACGATATAGTTTGTAAAAGCGTTGCACCAATCGGTGCTCTACTTACTGCTTTATCATGGAAAATCCCCATAACACTTTCGGGACAGTTACAAATTTCGTCTTCCACTTTCGAGCGAGCACAGACAACTTGTACTGATTTAGTGTCATTTTTCATCATTTATACGTGTTATTCCATTCATTTCATTTGCATATGTGGGGCTCATTTACATGGCTCACAATTGTTGATGACTGTTCCTGAAAATTATCAGTCACATCATTCAATATTCTATTGCATGTTGGGCTTATGCATCTCATTCTTAAATGGATATAATGTTTATTCTGTTTAATTACTCGAGGCATATCTTCCCTTGGGACATCCTGGTCCCCATGGTTATCGGTTCGATGGCACGTGAAGGCCAACAGCCTAAATGAAATATGGCCTTCATATACGGCCTGGATAGCTTTCGGTTGGGAATTCCCCAAAATTCCCCTGCTGGCATTCTGACCTCGAGCGAAATGCGGACTGGTTTCCTTTTCATATAGATTGTTGTACTAAGGAAAGGGTTGCTTTACATTTCGATGTATATCCTCGTTCACTTAAGCAGCCTTGTTCGGCCTGAAACACAAGCTAACGGTAATCGCTCCGCTCCCGTGTGCAGTTTTTTTCCCTTTCTGATTGGATATATTTAGGCAATGATGAAGCTTGTTTGGATTTATTGCAGCGAAAGTACCCTCGTGTTACATCATCCAGTCACCACTGTCTGGTGAATACGGGGTAAAACAAATCCCATTTTAGGTAACTGATTCAACTGATTCACCACTCAATCACCTAAGTGGTTGGTCCGATTTTGGGACTCGTAATCACAGAGGTGGACCAAGCGTCTCGAATAGCCTCTACTGAGGAAGGCCTATTCACTACTTTCTCGTGGCGGAGGTGATTTCTCACCAAAGTGAGAAGATGAAAAACCGAAATCCGGGGCTATAACCGGGTTGGTGGACCACTGGTAGTTCATTTAGAGGAGTTGGTCAAAAAACTTGATTCCAAACCAACCAAGAGGAGGTGTACGAACCACACCCACACCTTTTCGGTTGTGGCAGTGGTCACTGGCTC